GTAATTTAGGCACTTAATAAGGAGAAAAGATTGTATTTTATATAAGGCAGATATTTGAATTATAAATGTTTGCTGAGGGATCCCTGGGTGGCGCAGCAGTTTGGCACCTGCCTTTGGCCCAGGGCGCGATCCTGGAGACCCAGGATCGAGTCCCCGTCGAGTCCCCATCGGGCTCCCGGTGCGTGGAGCCTGCTTCTCCCTCTGCCTGTGTCTCTGCCTCTCTCTCTCTCTCTCTCTGTGACTATCATAAATAAAAAATAAATAAATAAAAATAAATGTTTGCTGATTACGGTGATCAAAATTATGGGATACTTGTTAAGTTTCCGGCTTATTCCATTTACTAACAGAGCTACCATTTAGTGAGTATCCAATACCTGGTAGGCATGTGCTTGGTGCTGTATGTGCATTTTTTCTATCTCCTTGCAATAACCATGCAAGACCATTCACTTTGTCTTTCAAACTGGTAAGTAGTAAAGCTACGATTCGTATCCACGGCTATCTGTCTCCAGAAGAGGACTTGGCTTTCAAAGGCTCTAGAATCACTCTAAATCCTCATTTTGCCTGTTAGTAGCTATGTAACTTTGGGCTAGTTACTTAATCTCTTTCCATCTCATTTTCTTGATCTTCAAAATAGGATTAATGATAGTCTCTCCCTAAGAATTCGTTATATGTGAAATAGGCACATGAGGCCCTTCGTTGGTACAGAGTAAGCAGTTAATCAGCTTCTGGCTTTTGTCATTATTGTAATGATAACTTATTATCAGTCGATCCACAAATAACCTGAACAGTTGAGATGCCCAGATACTGAGACTAAACTTTTCTTACTGACCTCAATTATCTGGGAATTTGCGGTAAAGATCAAATCTCAATTCATAATTACATGGTGGGAAGATCAGGTCATCGCCAGTGCTCAGGGTCCAAGGAACTCAGTTTATGCTGTGTCACATGTGTCAACACGTTTGACTTTGGGGAAAACTGTCTTAACATAGGTCAACAGGCTTGCAAAAACCAACAACCATAAACTCCTCTCTTTTAACAGGGCTGGTGGCTCTGAAAAGAGGAAACATGAGTAAAATTCATAAGTTCTGTAGTCACTCCCAGTTGAATTTGTCCTTTATTTTGAGAACATGGGGGAGTAGAAACCAGACTCAATCTAATTGAAAATAAAACTTGTGTGTTTTCTGAGTGAAACTGATAGAATGGTAGCAACATACAATAACATACTGATATGCACAATAGTTTGATCTGGCATGGATGCTCACCGATCTGTTATTATAATGTACTTGTTAAAAGAGCCTGGATCCTGGAGTTAAGACTTCTGGAATCAACTCTTGGCCTTTCCAATTGTTAACTTCCTAATCTTAGAAAAATTATTCAATCTCCTTAAATTCAGTTTTCTTATGTGTAATATAAACCTTATAAAAATATTTACCTTACTCTGTTGTTTTAAGGATTAAGGGAGATGCTACATAAAAAAGGCACTTAGCCCAGAGTCTGATCAAAGAATAAGTGCTTAATAAAATGTTAGCTATTGGTACATGCTGTCAATCTAAACCTGCCTGTGTCAAGTAAAGGTTTTGCACCCCTTGTCCATTCATGAGATCTTGGCAATGGGAAGAGCTAATGGTGATTTCTTAGACAGAGGAGACACCTTTGACAGAAACCTGGCAAGCTGCGAGGTATAGCAGGACAGAGATTTAAGCCTGGACCTCTGATACCTATAAGCTCAAACATGGCTAGTCAGTTTCTATTATCATCCCGATGGGCTACTGATGGTTTCCGCCTCTGAGCTAGGGGATAAGCGGTAGCAGGGGAGGAGGAGGACTCCTTGTGGCCACGTGTCCAAAAAAGCTTCAGAAACATTTATCAAGAGCTAGGATGCTAGTAGGGGATACTAGTGGATTTTTTTATTCCTGGCATTGGAGATTACTCCTGCTTGCAAATTAAGTATCAAATCAGGCTCCTAAAGCATGCGTGCTGAATGCTGTAGAAGACCCATTTGGATTTTGTGTTACACTTGCTTTTTATTCATGATTTCAAATCTCAGATAAAGTCTCAATACTGCCTAGAAGTTTCACTAGGAACCTTGTGTGACACTATGCTCTATCTTCTCCCTTTTCAAATATCCCATCTGCCTCCCCCTCCACAATTTAAACCATCAGGTGAGAAGGAACTCTCTCAGTTTTAAGTATGTGTACAAACCTATCACATAATATTGTTATAAGGATTAAATGAGTTAGTAAATGAAAATTACTTAGAGCATTACATGGCACATAGTGAACTCTCAGTAAATGTTAGCTATAATCATGATTATTAATACCTGTGCCTAAATCCATTTTCTCCTGTTTCCCCCTTTCACCTGCTCCTGCCAGATGCCAAGCCCTCAATCTGCTTTCTGGACCCCACTGTCTTTTATTTTCTCTAGGATTGCTCCTTTGATTGTTCCCTCTTTCTCTTCATCAGTAACTTCTCCTTCTCTCTGGATTTTTTTTTCATCAATGTAAAAATCTGCTTTACTATCCTCAAATGTTCAACCCACTCCAATTCTGCCTCCTATCCTTATAAGTCCTATAAATCTGCTCTTCTCAAGATCATCAGTGAATTCTGTTGTCAAAACTGGTAGTCACTTTCTATCCTCAACTTACTTCAACACAGCTGATGGCCATTCTTCTCAACACAGCACCCTCAGGTTCCACACTGTAGGGTTTCCTCTTAGTTCTCTAATCATTCCATCTCAATCTTTTCCCCAATCCTGTCCTTCTCTACTGAGTATCTAAATGCTGTCACTTTCCATGGACATGGGTCTAGATTTATATTTTCCCTCTACATTCTCATTCATGCCCAGGGATTTATTCAAAATGTATGTGCTCAAAACTCCAAGTTTAGATCTTTAGCCTAACCTGTTTTATGCCTACATCATATTTCCTCTAGGATTCAAAATAACACTCAAAATGAGTAGCTCAAACCAAATCAAGAACTTCTTTCCCACCCCAGCTGCCAAAATTTCCTCTTCTAATCTTATCCATCTTAGTCAGGGGCACCCAGATCCATGCTGTGAGTGGCTTAAGCCAGAAGCTTGGATTTCATTCTTGATTCTTCTTTCTCTGAATGTTTCTACCTTCACCCCTTCCTATTTAATCCATTAGCAAGTTTCATCTCTTCCATAACCCAAATACATATCTGATGTCTGCTTCTCTCCATTGCTGCTTCTCTACCATTGTCAACTAAACAAGCATCATCTCTTACCTGATCTGTTTCAGTGTTCCCCTCCCTTCCATTTTTCTAATCCACTTTATTATCCACATTAATGTCTTGGTGAGCCTTAAAAAGTTATATAACATTTTCACCGTTTCTTGAGGGCTTCCTAATTTGCTTTAATATTGTCTTAACTCCTTACTAGAGCATACAAGGGCCTACAGGATCTGGCCCTCACCCCTCTCTGACCCTATTTTGTACTGTTCTCCCCCAATTCACTTCACTTTAGCCACACTGGCCTTCCTCAAACACACCAAGTTCAATACATTCTGTTTTAAACATTCTGCTTCTCTGCCTGGAATAGCCCCCCCCCCCCCTTCATTCTCAGCTTTCTGGTTTCAGGTGAAATGTCACCTCCCTGGAGAGACATTTTCTTATTTTCCCATCTCAACAACTTCCTTTCTTCCCCATTATTTTCTATAGCTGTGTCCTCTAAATATCCTTCAAAGCACTTATCCAAACTCGTTTATTTTCTTGTGTATAGTTGGTATCTCCCTCCTGATCCAAAAGAGAAACGGTCCATTTCTATTTTACTCACCAGTACCTAACAAAATGCCTGATATACAGTGGAGTCTACATAATACTCACTCAATAAATGAGTGAATAAATAAGCAGTCATTCACATATTAATGTAAGCATTTGAAAGCATAGAAGTGAAACAGAGCTTTGGACAACTCACTTAAAGAGCTGGCCCATGACAAATTATTCCCCCAGAGAGTGGTGCCAAGTCCTGTTGATAATGGAGCATCTTATGACTATGACTGGATCTTTCCTTCTTCCAGTTTATGCAAATTATATGCCTTCTCTGTGAACTCCTTACCCCTATTTAATTCCTAGCCAAGATCCAACTTAACTCTTTGTCCTTGATGAAACCCCTCCCCATAATTCTAGCCCGAAAGTCTTCATGATCCTCAGAAAAACCTACAGTACTCACTTAATATTTATATTTCATCTTGTGCATTTTTTATGAGCTAAGCACTGCCTCAGGAAATGAGGATCAAATATAAAGATCTTTGAACTAACATTTATTCAGCATCTTTTGTACATTAAGTATTTTATATCAGCACTCATATTATAATTACATAATTATAATATTAGCACTCACTCGTTCTCACTACAAACCCAATTTCCATTTATTTTTATTTAGCAAATATTTTCATAGCACAGACTGCATACCAGGCCATAGTTTAAGGACTATACAAATGTTAATTCATTTAATCCACATAACAAACCTAAAGGATAGGTAGTATTATGATACTTTGGGACTCCGAGGCAAAGACAAGATATTTGCCTAAAACCATAGAACTAATAAATGGTAGGCCAGAATTTGGGCCCAGGTATGAAGCTCCAGAGTCTCCATTCTCAACCATCATTCTAAGCCACCTCTCAATTCCTATCAGGTAGGTATGATTACTTCTCTTTCCAGAAAGAACTTGGGACTCTCAGGTTAACCTTGCTAGGAATACATAGTTAATTCACGTATTCAACATCAAATGTTTATAGAGTACCTTCTAAATGTTAGGCACTATGTAAAAGTTCTGAGATACACAATGTTTGAATAGACTTGTCTTCAGGGAGTTTACAATTCAGCGGACAAGTGGAACAGTGTGGGATTTAGATTTAAGGGCTTTTTAACTGTTAAATTCAGGATGTGTGACCTTTCCAGGATTCTATTCTCATAGAATTCAATCAAATTGTTTGGGTTTCAAGATGATCCCTCAAGGAACAGGTGGTGGAGTTGGGACATCTCCAAAAGGCTTCCCTGAGGAGGAAGGCACCACTCATCACTTATTGTTACTTAAATGGTGAAATGTTTCACATTTAAATATCATTCTTCAAAAAAAAAATATCATTCTTCAACTGCTCACTGCAATCTCCTTGAGGACTGGGACTCTAACTTAACATTGCTCATAGTGTTTGGGACGGTGTGCTACACACATAGGGTCCAATAAAGAGATCTCGAATCGTGACTGGTTGAGTTCTTAAAACAGTGAACAAAGCTGGCAGTCTTAGTTTTGCTACGTGTAAGATTTCTTCAGACTTGAACACTTACTTACCATGGCAGACATACACTAGCTTTTCCTGGCTCTCTGGGGACTGTGACTCAAAGAGTGAATGCCATAAAACCAGGAGGTGTTCTGAATTTTCACCTTACCACATGGCCTAGGTCCTTTGCACTTCCAGATTCAATATTGTCTTCCCTAAGGAACCTCACAGCCCCATCCGCTGCCACCAAGCCCTCTGGAACGGGGAGTCCTGCCTTTATGACCACAAATTGTCCTGTGTTTATGTTGCCAAAATAGGCAAACTGGATTCCCACATTTTTTTTCACTGGTGCAATGGGAAGCACCAGGGCCTTGGTCCTAGGAAATGATGAAAACTCAACCCAGATGTATACAGAGCAAACACTGCTATTTGCCACACTGTCTTGTTTGTTTTGGAGGAAAGTGGATTTATTAATAATAAAGTTTCACCATGTGGCAGGCACATCTGTGTTACAAAGTATCAGTCATAGAACGTAACTCAGGAAAAACCCCATTAAGTCACCTAGTCCTGCATATGCCAAGGCTGTAGTCTACATTTCTGTCTTTTGAGATTTACCAGCATTTCAGAATAAAAGATGAGATGTTAAGAGCAACGTCTCACCTATGATTCCAAACTACCATTAACGATGGTGCTCATGGTGGGAAAATGGAAAAGAAAACACACACACAAAAATCTCAAATCCTCAAAGTTTCAATTCATAGCCCTGAGTGGGGTGTTGTCCCAAACTGATACAGAGAATAAACTGAGGAGGAGACTTCAATTCACAAAAGCACATGGTGTCTTCTGTGGAGACTCATGGCCAAAAGAGGAGAAAACCCTACATTTATTTATTTAACACTTATTTATTTAACCTTCTTGCTGGGTTGGGTTGTTGGATTTGGTTTTACATCCTGAATTACAAAATTTATGATGGGAACATGTGTCAGCTGTTTGCTGAAGGAAAGAAAGACTTCTGTTCTTTGTCTTTTCTCATAATAGAGCCAAGCATCCCACACCGTTTAGAGAAGTTAAAATATGTGAAGAGTAAGAGCATAACCCTTGCTTGGCTTCCTTTTCTACATCTTCTGTTCTTTCTTCCTGATGGTACCCGCCTGGGCACAATCCTGGTGCCTCCTGCCTGGACTGCTGTATAGCATTTATTCAGACTTTCAAACCCTCTGGCCAGCAGCTGCCAAAATCAGCATCAGCTAAGATTTTCTGAGACTCAATCACACACACCTGCTCTTTGCATACTGTGATCAAATATGTATCCTTTGCTTAATTTATTTGTCACAATGGGGCACAGTATGGATAGTAGCCAAGGGCATGGGCTCAAAATGAAGCAGAAAGAGTTTTTAATCCTAGCTCTACTACTTTCCCACCCAGCTTTATTGAGATATAATTGACATATAACATAGTGTAAGTTTAAGGTAAATGACGTGATGATTTGATACAGGTATTATTGTAAAATGATTACCATAATAAGGTTAGTTAACATATACATCACTCTTTTTTTTTTTTTTGAGAGAGAGAAAGAGTATGCATGGGGGTGAAGAGGCAGATGGAGAGGGAGAGAGAGAGAATCCCAATCCACACCCAGTGTGGAGCCTGACATGGGGCTTGATCTCACAACCCTGATATCCTGACCTGAGCTGAAATCAAGAGTTACACTCTTAACCAACTGAGCCACCTCCACTGCTACTTTTTAATGGAGGCTTTGGAAAGTCAGTATCTTTATCTGTAAAGAGTAATAAGAATAGAGCCTACTTCATAGTGTTTTTGTTTTTAAAATAACTTTATTTAGGCATATTTTTGCATAAATATATTTCACCTTTTCAAGTGTAAAAATTCAATAATTTTTCATAGATTTACTAAGTTGTGCAACCATCACCATGAATTAGCTTAAAAATATTTTTATCACCCCTCATGTCCCTTTACTATTAATCCTGTCTTCTGCCCCTACCCCACTTTCCCTGTCTTCATATCTTTGCTTTTCCTGGGTATTTCATGTAAATAGAATACAATTAATGGTATCATACTATATATGGTATCTCATGTCTGACTTCTTTCACTGAGAAGGATAGTTTGAGGTACATCCCTATCATATGTAGCATGTCTTCTTAGTTTTTTCCTTTTCACTGCTAAATAGTTTTTCATTGTATGGATATAGCATCTTTTGTCTATCCATTCAGGCGATGGGCAGTTAGGTCATTTCCACTTCTTGGTTACTATAAATAATGTTTCTAAGAAGACTTGCATTCAAGACTTTGTGTAGATATATGTCTTCAGTTTACTTGTGTAGACACCTAAGAGTGGAAGTGATGGGCCATATGGTACACTATGTTTAGCATCTTAAGTCACAGAGTTGTCTGAGGCTTAGATATTACATAGAAGGCCTCACTCAAAGCCCCTGGGAATAATGATCCATGAAAATTGCTGTTGTGGTTGTTGCTGCTATTCTTTGGAGAAGTTTCTACTTGTTTACTGTGTAGATGAGGAGGCTAAAATAAAGCTCAGAAAGGGTTACCAACTCACTCAAGACCACGCACAGTGGGATGCCTGGGTGGCTCAGTGGTTGAACACCTGCCTTCAGCTCAGGGCATGATCCTGGAGTCCCAGATCAAGTCCCACATCAGGCTCCCTTCATGGAGCCTGCTTCTCCCTCTGCCCATGTCTCTGCCTCTCCCTCTCTGTGTCTCTCATGAATAAATAAATAAAATCTTAAAAAAAAGACCACACACAGCTAATCGATGGGTGAACTAGAATCCTTCTCTTGTGTTTTCTGACTCTAAACCTGGCATCATTTCCTGCCATCATAGCCAATAACCACACAAAGTATCCTGAGGAGCGTAGTCCCCTGTGTAACAAATACTCCTGGCTCCTCAATGCACATGAAATAAAATCTTGATTTGTGTGCTAGGTATACAAGACCTCCTATTATTTTCCCACTGATCTTTCCTGCCTAATTTCCCTCCACACACCTCCACTCTATCCTCCCTTCAGGAATCTGCCAAGATGACTTTCGTTCCAAAAACTAAGCCCACACTCTTTGGCCCACTATACCTTTGATGGCGCATGATCTGGGTTCTTGAATAGTATTTCTCACTTTTCCCTTATGAACTCTTACCCATCCTTCAACGCAGAGTTCAAGTCATACCTCCTATACATTCCCACTTTCTCAGCCTAGTGACCTGTTTGAAATTAATCTATATTTTCTTAATGCACTTAGTTATAATAGGTAGTCAATGAACACACTGACTTGAGCTGAAATGACTGGAAAAAAAGAAAACAAACAAACAAACCCTCAGCTGTGTAATGAATGACCTAGCTATGAGAGGTACTAATTTTTAAAAATTCAATAAAAATAATTTGTAAAATGTCCAGGTATAGCAACACAGTGTTATTTGTTATGGATTACCTGGAGTAGAATCTTGTTCCTCACCACTTGGCTTCCTCTGTGTATCAAGAGCACTTTACTGTGTTTTGGGCAACTTCTTATCACACTGGATTGCATATCCATTTGTGTTTGCCAGCCCCAAAAGACTGTGAGTGCCTCCAGAGAAGAAACTGTCTTATTCATTTCTGTATACCCATTCCCCACCACAATGCTCGATTCATGTAATGGTGAGTACTCACTCAATGCTGAATGAATGAGAGGGTTAGTGAATGAGAGAATGAGCTGCTCTTTCTGTCTGACACAGATAATCCATTAAAAATTGGTAGTACTCTCTTGCCTGACATTTGAGTTCTAAAAGAGGGTTCTCCTTTAAAAAAGATTCTAATCTTCCCTTTGACCTACTGTTAATTCCACTTCCTCCAAATGGCTCATCTGAATAAGTCAATAAGCATATACGTAGACTATTTTCTTCCCAGTTCCTTCCTTTAACTCTTTCTTTTTTTTTTTTTTTTTTTTTTTTAAATTTTTTTTTAATTTATTTATTTATGATAGTCACAGAGAGAGAGAGAGAGAGAGGCAGAGACACAGGCAGAGGGAGAAGCAGGCTCCATGCACCGGGAGCCCGATATGGGACTCGATCCCGGGTCTCCAGGATCGCGCCCTGGGCCAAAGGCAGGCGCCAAACCGCTGTGCCACCCAGGGATCCCTCCTTTAACTCTTTCTAAACAAAAGCCACAAGAAAGGTTAATAGTTAAAGAGAAAAATTCTGCAAATTATATAAGCTCTAAAACACGGTGACTTTTCCTAAGTTGTCAGATTCTAACAAGGATCCAGCAGAGGCCTTCCACATAGTACAGGCATTGTAAAGAGTTGTGGAATAATTAGATCCAAAAAGATTTATTAAGTGCCAATGAACAAGACCCTGTTGCAACCTTCTAAGATTCCTGGCATGAGGGAGCTAACAAACATATAGTGGTAATAATAACAACAACTATGTATTCCATCAGTCATTACTCTATGACTGGCACTATTTCAAGTGTTTTATATGAAATAACTCATTTAATTTTCATAATAACTCTGAGAGGAAACTATTATAGACGAGAAAATGAGGATGAAGAATCTGAAGTTTACCAGTTTCAGAAGTAATTAGTGTAATAAGTAGTAGAACTGGGACCCAAGAAATCTGGCTCCAGAAACTTCCCATAAGAATGCTTCTAAGCTTAGGTGAGGGGCCTTGTGCCCTCCCTTCCTGTTTCCCCAGCACTCATAACCACTCAATGACCATTTGCTGTTAAACTGTGCCAACTGCAAGGCTGACAGGGATTAGGAAAAGAA